GTTTTCTTTAAACAGATGTACTAGTATTTAGTTTCTTTAAAATAGGGTCAACTTTTTTTAGCTGGTTTAGGCCTCACTTTAGAAAAATTCATAGCCATTATTGTGCACAAGTGTGTACTAAAAATATGCGCTAAACCTAACTGTGGAATGATGAGAAGCATGGTTCAAACTAATGTCATTTCTTTAAATATATTTTTGTACATTTTCAGATGTTCAGCATTTCCCTTTTTTCTTCTTTAAGTCCCACAATATCTTCATCTCTGTGACAGTGGAGCACAGGCTAAGACCCAACAGAGAGAGAACAATAGGTTCATCTCTCTTCACCCTTGTAATGGGTGAGCTTTTTACATTTAAAAATGAATTGAATGTTTAAAGTGTTTTCATTTTCTATCACTACATTCCTTAGTTTAAAAAGTGAAATAGAAAAGGAGATGAGAAGTATATTTGCAATAGACAAAAAAGCAATTGCCCTTCTCAATCTGTGAAAATGTTCCATTCCTTCCCACATAACATATTCAATAGAACTTCATCATCCAGCAATCAAAAGTTGAAGCTCTTTTCTATTGATTATAATTTCATTTTCTTAGAAAACTAAACTTTCCTTTCTCTGTTCCTCTCTAGTTAGTCTGCACATAGAGTTTTTTACATAAGATGATAACTAAACTATGTCTTATCCTCAATATTTTTTTTAAAAATTACTGTTAAATTCATTTATTTTCAAGTTGCAGGGAATTGCCTGAATACTAGAAAAGAATGTTTGATCTTTGTTCAGAATTAAGGGTTATTGCAGTAATATTTATTTCTGTATTTTTTCCCCAAATAATAAATTAATTTGAGTCAAATACTATGCTTTTCACTAGCTTGGGGGAATTTGATTTAGTGACTTGCACCACCGACCTGGTTAAAAAAAATCTATAGAAACATCTGGTGATGTGAATAAAGGACACTAATACAATGAGCACTCATTCTTACCCACCCCCATGCCTATAGTAAACCATATTTATTATTGCTACATTAAATGATTATATGTCTTGACTTTTTCTCTATCCCCACCCCCAGGAACTTTGGTAATGGATGTTTGCTAACCCATACAGAATTCACCTGATTTATGACTATGTTGCAAAAGCTGTTGAACATTTAATAAAAATGAAATTTCTTTTCTGGGAAGCCTTAAAAATATAAATGTGTATTGTCTTAGTTTTTGCTATGCTACTCATACACAAAAAATATTAAGCATTTCTCTATAAATGCTCGCTACAGTGTAGGAAGTGTTATATAGCGTACAGATAGTCTGAGTTTTTACCCATAAGAAAGTTGTCTGTTTGGTTTTTATCTTTGTGTCTGTGTTTAGATTGTCAATACCAGATAGTAGCAGCAAAAAGGAAATGGAAAAGAGTCAGAAACCTCCCCTGGGATTTCTGCAAATAGTAATATGCATTGATATTGTGTAGATGATAGTTGTCACCTTTTATATTGTAAGTCTACTTTTGGTAGTGTGTCAGAAACAAGATAAAGGTCATATTGCTTAAAGCCCAAACGGTAGGGAAAAACATAGCCAATAAATTGGCAAATTAACCCCTGCCATACTTTAATACTCCGTAAGACATCTTAAAATAAGCAAAATGGATCAATAACATTATTTTTTCCTTATCATAAATTTATGAGCTGGTCCTCTACAATTATTTAGGTCAACATTTCAAAATGATTTCTTTTTAAAATAAATCTTTGTCCCAATATACTACTTACTAAATAATCTTAGGCCCTTCTTTAATGTAGGCTTAGATTGTATAAACCTCATAAACAAGAGATTACAGAGATCTCTAACTTAAACAGGAAAGTAGATCAAAACTGACACCCTTGCAAATGAGTCTGGAAGTGAAAGGGTTACAAGAATTTCCAGGATTATGAATAGTCTAAATGAATTAGATAATTAGAAGACTCTTCTTGAATATTTCCTAGACCTATCTGTAAAAATCTTACAAGTGAAGACCATGCATGCCTTAATTCTTTTCGCCTGAGCCCAAATGTCATGTTTGAAAACCAAAGGATTATATTATCTATTTTGAAAAGCCCATTTGGAAAACAGGACTTTGTTTCATTTCTCAGAGAATATTGGGCTTGTCCCACTGAGAAAAAGAAGCGCATGAATGTGGCTATAGGATGATCTCTTGATCCTTGGACCAAACTGAGGAAAAAGTCTAACAAATGCGTCGTTTTGCAGTAAATTAGATCAGATTTCCGCATCTCCGCACTCAGTCTGTGAGCTGACAGTTCAGTAAAATGTTCCCTTGTAAGGTTCGCCCTCTTAGGAAAAGGGGCAATAATTCATCATTAGGATTTCAGAGTCCAGGTGTAGATGGAAACTGATGGAGCCTCCAGCGAGGCAGGGAGGGTGCATGGAAGAAGAAAATTTTATCTGAAGCCTAATTCCCTGGTTACAGCAGAGAATAATTAAGATAATATTGCTCCAAGAGTCTTTTAATGATTAAAAATCACATATGCAGAATCCATAAATTGGAGGGCAACAAATTGAAAGGCTGTAATGTCAGAGAACTGTTTTGTGCACATTGTACTGGAAAGTACACCCGTGGCAGCACGCTGTACGGGCAACCACCAGAGACCAGGACCATTCCAAGGACTTTGTTTAGATGCAACAAATCATTTGTCTGTTATTAACCCAGAGCTTGTAATTATGCAGATTGCCATAGATTTTCCTGGGCCTGGAAGTGAGATTGAGGGTTGTTCACAGTATAGCAGGCAGCTCAGGGCTGGCCATGCATTACTGAACTTGCCACATTTATCATGTTGACTGATGGCAGCAGAAGCAGGTCTCAGGTCCCAGTGGTTAATGTAGTGGGTAATTAACTGTCATTTGCCTAGTAATAGGCTGATGATCAATGGTTTGTGTGGAAACAAATTCTAATCAGGTAGCTGATAAATGCTCAGCTAGCGAGAGCAATTGAAATTGGGGGAAACTATGTCCAGAATTTCAAAATGGCATTGTGTGTGTATGTTTATTAGGTATAAGCAAACTGAGTAGTTCTTAAAAACTGCTTTCTCTCATACTAATCGCATTTTATACCCACAAGTGCATCTATATTCATGGAATAAAGAACTTTTAAGATTTTCTTATTTCTCAAAAAAAAAAAAAAAGGCAGAAGAAACAGATGGCACACGTAAGTGATGTGACTCCTGAATAGATCACGTGAAGTACACTGAGAAGTAAATGTGAAATGTTAGAAGGAGCGGAAAAACCTGCTGACAAAAGAATAGGATGAAAGCTTTACTTTGTGATGGTTTCATTTTTAATGATGCCAGTAGGAGATGCAAGATACTCCATTCTCAATGAGATTCTTTAAAAAAAAATTATTTCCTAAAATAGGGATTGTAAACTGAGAACACAAAGATTATTAGAGTTATAGTCTTTAGAATAAGCATATTAAAATAGTTTATTTTTTTCCTTTTTTAGCTATTTTCATTGTATTTTTTCCCATTACCCTTTACCGTCCCTCTCCCCCCCCTCCCCCACAGTCACCACCCTGCTGTCCATGTCCATGATTTTTTGTCAGGGGAAATAAGTGCGTAATAATTTTAAATTTAATCTTCTTGAATATGAACCCTGGTTACTTTTTATCGAATGTACAGATTATTCTAGCAAAATATCTGAAAGGCATCTGTAGTTTCTACCCTCAAGGCGCTTAAGTTCTTCAAGAGACAACCTAACAAAAACATCAGCTTAAGCATTTATTACAAGTTTTGCCAGACACTTAGAAGCCATTCTCACAACTCTTTCCACCTGTCGTCATTAGCCTGGTAAGAGGAAATAGTTATGAACTTGAAAATGAATATGCATGCCTTAAGGAAAGACTTATCTTTGGAGTATATCGAAAGTAATAAGAGAAACTTCAGCACATTTGCGCGTAATCCTTAAATTCAATAAAATGAAAGGCTAAGATTCTTTAAAGTACATTTTTATAACTAAAATGAGTTTTCTCCACAGCACCTTTGAATTCATTAGTTTAGAACTGCTTTTAATTTGGCCTTTCCCATGAGAGCCATTATATTTTCCTCCTGTCAGCCTGATGCTGGAGAAAAAAGGGAACTGGCAGATGTGGTGTTTTTCATCTAGTTTGCTTCCTAGCAAAAAAAGTGCATTAACTACTATGCACAGAATATTATTTGTAATAACTCTTCACCACCATTAACAGTTTTAAAGAGACTTAGTTTAAATATTGCCAGCGAAAATAAATAAACTATTTTATTTCCTCCCATTATGAAACTATGGAGACATGTTATGTTTGTACTATATTTTAGGTCATTACAATAACTATTTACAGGAATCTACAGCAAATAGGATTTTTAAAAAATACCTTTTTTTCCCAGACAATTCCAGTGGTTCTCACAGTATATTATATTTCTACTTATGATCTAGCTCTATATAGTTTACAGCCTCATTTACTTTAATGTGCTACCTGAATAACATAATCATAGCTATAACTATGGTATAGGGCTGTAAGATGCAGGCGCCTGTAATGTTTTTTGACTATTTAAATGACTTGTTCATAAATGGTCTTTTAATAATAACTGCAAACCAGTTAGTAACTAGGTGACAAAAGTAGTGAGTCATTCAAATGTTTTTTTTTCCAACTAAAATGTTTAATATATGGCATTAAGATCAAAGTTACATTGCTTTTATATTTACTCCATAGTCTAACAAGTACATTTTTGCTGTGAATTCACCTCTATTGACTTCTGTTTGTGTAAGCTTCCCAATGTATTTGTCTTTTCCTTTTCTTCTCAAACAAGACAGGATTTTCATCAAGAAAGGTCAACTGAGTGTGTATCACCAAAGAATATTTATGTATATACCTTTATAAAACTCACTTGAGTATGTCCTAAAGCATTGTGCACTGATAGATTTACGAAGTGTCTTAACGTCTTCGCCAGTCACCATCTCAGATTTTTGTGTGAGAGTTTGAAGAAACTGTTTCCTGTTGCAGGCTCTTCGGTGTAACAGGGAACTGCGCGGCCTGCAGCAAGCTCATCCCTGCCTTTGAGATGGTGATGCGGGCCAAGGACAACGTTTACCACCTGGACTGCTTCGCATGTCAGCTCTGTAATCAGAGGTACTCAGATTTCATTTTGTCTTCTAAAAGCCAGTAAAACTCTCTTCTCTGGCTGTTTAACAGGTGGGAATTAGATGTTAGTACGCTTTACTTAAAACAATCTCAGCATTTTTATTTTCTGCAAACATTCATTCAGCGCCATAAAGAAGCCACTGAGGAAAAAGGTCTTAAAACTATATTTTTACCTAAAAGAAATTCATCATATAACAGGATGTGATAGGAAATGAGAAGACTTCTATAAACTTTTGGTCTTCTTATTATTCATTCTTTTCTTTATTGTTTTTCTGTATTTTATTTACTTTTGTAAAGATTTTATTTATTTATTTTTAGAGAGAGGAGAAGGGACAGAGAAAGAGAGGAAGAGAAACATCAATGTGTGGTTGCCTCTCGCACGCCCCCTCCTAGCGTCCTGGCCCCCAACCCAGGCATGTGCCCTGATTGGGAATCGAACTGGCAACCCTTTGCGTCTCAGTCCAGCACTCAATCCACTGAGCCACACCAGCCAGGGCTGTGTTTTTCTGTCTTTTTTAAAGTAGATTTAAAATCTTTTTACTTTTTTTGGTACTACTTCTGTGAGCAAACACATTTGCACTGTGGCAAATACACAGGAATTTGTGGCAGGTAGAGTGTATTCATCATATTATTTTTATTTATAGTTGCCCTATCTCTTGATTTCTTATGTTGAATTTTAACCTTGTTATATATGTACTTCTTAAGTTTCTTCAAGTCTCCTTGTGAACAAGGCCAGAGATCCCTAATAATTAAGCAATTATCAACATTGGAGAGCCAGCACAGGAGAGGTTGCACAGAAAATCTAAAAACCTAAATTCTGATTTAGACTCAGCCCGTAACAAGCTGTATGGCCATAAACCAGTAATATTAGCTCTCTGGGCTTCAGTTTTCTCATTAATAACATAAGGGAGCTGGACTCGTCAATTGCAGAGAATACTTTCATCTTAAATTCTTATGACTTCATCCCATTTTTCTTTATTGAAAGTTAAAACTTTTATTTCCAGTGGGAACTATATACCACTGGTACCTGTTTTATGTGACAAATGCAGAGTATATTAGAATATTAAAATGTACATATCATTAAAAATACATTTCAAAAATTAGTACATTTGATGGATTTTAATGAAAATAAATCCTATATGAGTGCAAAAACACCTGGACATTGTATATAATCAGAAAATATTAGTTGTGTGAAGTTCTCCGTTCTTGTAATTTCCTCTGATTTACTGTTCAATGCAGTATCTTCTCATGAGGCCCTATAGAGTAGTAGAAAGAACATGATGTTTACAGTGAGAGCTGGATTCAGATTCCAGCCCCACCATGTGTTACCTTATGATTTTGAGAACGTTATTTAATCTCTCTAACTTTAGTTTTCACACCCTGAACATAAAGACACTAATGCCTGTCTTAAAGATTTTGAAAATCAAATAAAGTAATATATATAAGTACCAGGAGTAGGTTCTTAGAAACTAGGATTATTAATAGAATTAGAAATTAAAAAATAGAGCAGTGGGTTCTCAAAAATTAGTTCTTTTCCCATGATATTTATAACTTACTTTTACTAAATAATATTTAACTAACTTGTTCTTTATACAAGATAGATATCTCAGTAATGTCTCCTGCTAAATAGATATTTGGAATGTGACTCAGTATATCTTTTCATATAGAGTTTATCCAGGAAATAATTCAAGAAGTCATCTCACAGCATCTTGAGTTTTCCCAACAAATGCCTGAAGTCAGTGTAGTTTAATTCAGTCTATGGTGACATTTAACCAAAAATAAATTGGCAAATGAACATGTTGTTTGTTGTATGTAAAGATATGGATAAACAAACACAAATATCCACACATTAATACAGACACACTTACATGCATGTATACATGTATGCATATACATTTTAAAAGTATATTAACGGTAAATTTAAAATACTTTTGTTTGTTTGTCACATTGATCCACTAATAGCATCCACTAACAATACAGTTATCTTCAGGCAATAACATTTATTGCTTTTCTACTTGTAAAGGTTACATATACATAGAAGAAAACATAAAATACAAAGAGATAAAAATAGCATTGTCTCATATTCCACTATTTTCTCACTATTATAAGAGAAAATATTTTAATATTTTGGTGTGTAACCAGCTGTACAGTTTTTCATACATATATGTCAAGTGATATATAGCATATATGTTATATTACAGGCACATTTGAGCAGATTAAAGGAAAGCAACAGGAAACAATCCTAATGTTTAATATGTGACTTTTTTATATAATATAGTGTGCCTTTTAACCTGTCTTTAAAAATTCTTTAAACTATTTTAAGTTTTTCTTGTGTTCAGTTTTATGGATAGACCTTCATATAATAAATTATCAAGTGTATAGGTTGTTTCTCCAAGTTTTTAATATTACAAATATTATTAATATAATATTAACTTTATAAACAAATACTGAAATCTGTCAGGATAAAATCATAAGAGCAAAATTAATTAGGAAAAGTATATAAAAGTTTAAAGACTATGGTTATATATTGCAAAATACTCTCTAGAAAAGTTAGACCAATTATTCTCATACCAGAAATATAAAAATTATGCATTCCCTCACATTCACTCTAACACAGGGAATTATTTCAAAAGAAATCCTTGTCACCTTAAGGGATGAAAGATGGTATCTCATTATAATTTCCAGTTAGCATTCATTTGCTTACTAGGGGCCCTTTGCTATTTCTTTGTTTAGGGAACTGCCTATTTATGCCCTTTGTCCATTTTTCTATTAGGACAAGCTTACCTGTTTTATTCATGTACTACACAGAAAATTAAAACATTATTCAAGTGCTAAGCTAGGGCTAAATTCCATTATGATGCAAAGTAATTGTAGGTTGTTAACGCTATTTACAAATTGTATTTTATTTTATTTCACCATTGAAATAAAAAGTTGCACTCACAATTAAGACTATGTCCTCCATAGAATTCAGTCAAGTACAACAAACACTCCTAAATTTTGACTCTCAAACTGTTCACATTATTATTGCTGCAAAATACTATTCTAGTATCGTTATTAAAATACCTAATATATTTCCATGTTCGCTTCACTTATTACATGCCATAATGGGACTGCATATCTTTAGTTCTGGTTATGCACAATTAGCACTTAGTTATTGTCTTGTCACTTCAGCTCCAACAAGACAAACTTCTTTAATGCAGGAAGTCAACTAATCTTCATCAGCCAAGCAAAGCGGACAAATTTTATTTCTCTCAAGACAGAAGGTTTTCAATATAGGAGATTCTGCATTTACTTTGACATTGCCTTAGGAAATCCTCTTCAATAAAGCCATATGCCACAGAAGGCTATATTTTCAGTAGCTAAACCATTGTCATGGTGTTGCACTTCAAGTGAAACACAAGGCATATAGGTAGTTGATAGGCACTTCCCCTTAAATGAACTTTATTGACATCTGAAATTGTGGTATTATACATACTTCTGAATTTTTATTCAGTAGCCATCTCATTGAAGCTTTTAAATCAAAATATTATTGATATCATAATATTTCTGAATGTTTAAAACATGTTAGCAATAATAACTTTTCAGGATTGGTTGTCCCTTGTACGGTACCCCTTCTCCCTTTTTAGAGGGGTATGGCTAAAAATGTAGAGTCCGGAATTAAAAATGTAAAAACTTTTCTGTTTTGAAGGTTATCTTGGGTGTCATATAGAATAACATGAATCTCCCTTAGAATTGGAAAATTCTGTAGCAATAGTTAATTTCTTAAAGGTGAATAAGCCTCTTCCCCTTAGAAAATTCTGTAAAACTAAATGATGGTTTTATAAGAAAAGGAAAAAATGTACTTGTTTATAATAAGTTGCCTCAAATATGTAGGAAGAAAACACTTAATTTTCTTTCATTAAAGAATAAAAGCATTGTGCTTGGCTGTATAGGAACAGAGAGGAGTAAAATCTAGTTTCTCTCTTCAGACTATTCAGAGCTGGGGGAGAGACGGGCCTCAGAGACTCACAGGAGAGTGTAATTGATGTTAAAGAGATCCATCCCAAGGGAAGGGAGGTTCATCCTTGCAGTCTTAGGGAAGCATCAGAGGCTGATGTGCTTGGTTTCATAAAAGAACTCGCTTAGACTAGTTGGGGTATAGGAAGTGTGTCAGCTGGGGTTCAGGGGCAATGAGGAACAGGAAGCAGCGAGGAAAGGGACTCCCAGACAGATGGCGCTGCATGAGAGGCATGAGGGGTGTGAAAGCATCTGATATGTTTAGGAAATTAAAAGCAACTCAGTGTGCTCAGAAATTAGACCGAGAGTTTGCAGTGATATGGAACAATGAGTGGAGGGAGGGGCCAGAGGTGAAATGGTAAAAGTAGGAAGTCAGTGATTAAAAGTCAAAATGAATATAAATTTAAATTATTCCATCTAAAATACCTTTGTTATTTAAAGCTATTTGATTTTGGAATAAACCTACCTTAACCAATATTTATTGACCACCTGACTCAAGCAATTGTACAATGATCGCGGTATTTCAGAGGGTTCCAAAAAAGTAAAACTCATGGTCATTTACCTCAGTACTACTGTCCAGACTAGGAAACCTATTACACACTTAAAAGGAAATTTGAAATGCCGAAGTGGACAAAGGGTACACTAATAAATAAGTGTTTTGGAAGAGATGAGAATGAGTTGATGTGGTTAGGGAACATTGATGGAGGGAATGGAAATTAAAGAATTTTTAGAATTTAAGTTAGATGCAAAAAAAGGAGGAAATATCCCTCGCTAAGTGACATTTTAAGCAAAGATGAAAAGATTATCACTGGCAAATAATAATGAGAGCACATTCTTACATAGTGTTGATTATTTGCCAGACAGTGTTCTGTTTTACATGTACTCACCTATTTAATACTCAAAATAACCCATAAGTAGGTGCTATTACTGATCTCATTTTACAGATGAGGAAACTGAAGTACAAAAAATTTAAGTAACTATTCCAAGATTACACAGTTATAAAACAGTAGACTCAAGATTTGAAGCCTGGAAGTCGGGTTTTAGTTCTCTGGACTCAGCCAGTATGAAGACTGTTTAAAGAGGGGTATTTTATTTTCTGGCTAAGTACATATTGAATGTTGTTAGATACAGTGGTATTACAGTAAGGTAGACTTTGAATAATTTCTATCAGAACTCAGAGTGTGTGTAGTCTAACTTGGTACAGAAAAGAGTGTTACAAATGAGGTATGTAATAACAACTGGGCTCTCATTGGGAAAAGACAGTAAATTTGTGCAGAACTCTGTAGGGATGGGATAATGAGTGTATAGCCTGTACCTCTTACTGAAAACAAAGTACAGTATCAAAATCTCATCTTTTAGTAACTGAGCATGTTAAATAGCAGAGACAATGATTATAGGGATTGGATACCCTTCTTTTTAAAGTTGTTGTTGAAGTGAAAATTAATAAGTGACAGTAAGTAACCCGAGGAAAAGAAGATGACAAAGTTAACATTCTCATTTCTTAGAAAGGATGTTACATATGGAGGTTTATTAGCAGAGAGTCTTGATAACCTGCTCAAAAGTATTCTAAGCCCATTATTTTATAGGGATGATTTATTCTGTACTTTTCAACTGTCCAAGACCACATAAATTCAACTGGAATCACTTCAAAATATGTGGAAATTAAATCTGTTATTAATTCCAAATATCATGATTAGATGGTTTAAAAATCTGATTAAGCATCTTCTTATTCCTTAACATATTTTTTAAATGAAGAAAAACTTAATTGAACTAACTATATCACAAGTAATGAGGATCAGAATACAAGAAAGATTATCAGTTTATTTTCAGGAATTTTAGCCCAACCTATTAATATACTAATCATATCACTGCTTTTAAAATATATTTACTGCAAGTGCTAAATCTCATAAGGAGCTGGTTATATAGCATTGGAAATTAGCCTGCCTTACAAAATCACAGTTATACATTATTTAGTTGTGTCTAATATGTGCATTGCTGTTTCTTTAATCTCTTCGTGTTTTTATATGAAACATTTTAAGGGAGGATACCAATACTAATTGCATCCCAACCATAATTTGCTCTTAATCCATAGCTTTCAAGGCTGTTTTGTTTGAGTCATAGATGTCTTTGTGACACTCCTCACCCATGTTCTCGTTCATCTTGACCTTTGCAAATAAATCAAAATGCACATAAAATATACTTTATCCAGTTGACAATATATTAGAAACAAAATATTCAGGTAGAGATATTTCAGATGAATTTCATTTACATTACCAACATTTCATTGACGGGCAGGCAGACTTTTTTAAAAGTTACAGAGGAATAATCGTAATGCGCACGCACACAGAAATCCATGTAACTCTAGCCTCATGATCTACTGCCTCCAGGTAAAAGCATGGGTCCAAAGAAACCTGGTTCCTTTCCTTCCTCTACCACATGCATCCAGCTATGAAGCCTTGGGCAGGTTTTTTTCAATTCTGGAAGGGAGCTTCAGGTTTTTCATCTGAAAAAGGCAATGATAATATCTATGATCTAGGTTGGATGAAGGGAATTATGTGATTTTATATATTATATATATATATATATATATATATATATATATATGCTTAATGTTAGCACATGGTAAGTACATTAGAAAAGGTGGCTATTTTAATTACCAACATTCCAGACATTGAGGTAAAACTTCACAACATTCCAGACATTGAGGTAAAGTTTCACATACTCTTTACCACAAAATTACAAAAGAAGCTGATATTACAGATAAGAAAAACTGAAGTTTCTCTTAATATCGTAAGTGGAAAGTTGAGATTTGAATCCTATTTATTGCAAAATATCTCTCTACCTTTCATATATGTCTTATAACATTCCTACAATCCAGCAATGTATCTTATTCACAGAGAACTAACTCAGGAAGAAGTATGAAATGCACCTTATATTTTGCATTGGGTAGGTAATAACAGCGAGACCAGACCCCCAGGCTCTTGGTTCACTGCTTTTTCTCACTGTAATTACCCTGAGTTTGTAAACCTACAAATAAAAATTATCTAAATTTCAATGCCTCTGAAGGTAAGAATAACATAACATGACATGACAAAAAAAAACAAAACATGTTTTTATTTGATAGTGAATAGAATTTGGGGAATTGTTTAATGGAAGCAAAATTTTAGATAATATGGAGTTGAAAGGACAACCAATTTGGTTGTTTTTTAGAAGAAAAAGATTCAGGGACATCAGCTGGAGTACAAGAGTGTTTAATTGAATTTATATATTTTTGATGTTTTTTTTATTAGATTCTTAGTTCAAATTAATTTCAATAGAAATATAAAGTGAAATTTTTGAACAGTGATCACATATATTCTACATGTTATTTTATGTAATCTCACAGAAGTTAAGTATTCACACTGGCGGTTAGACCTGTCGTTTTCTTCAACATGTCTCAGTAATCAGGGTAATCTGCAAAAACTAGTTTATTCCAACACCACTTTTTAAGCACAATATTTAAAGTTTACAGTTTGCAGTCAATAAAAAGATGTCCAGGCTTGAATGTTCATTGTACCAAATAGCTTTGACCACAAACAACACCAGGATTTCGTGACTAGCACATAGTCTGTACTTTGAATCAACATCATCAGCAGGCAGTAATCCTAGGGAAAAAAAGAAATTCCACAAATAAACAGACCAATCTTCTTTAAGAGGAAAGCTAATTCTTTTCAATCTACTTTTTTTATTACACCATTTTCCCCTCTATCTACTTAAACTAGAATAAGGATAAATTTCCAAAGCTACCCAGTTGGAAAATAAATAGGTTCACTGTTTGTCTAGCATTCCAATCTTTACAAATGTAAATCAGTCCAACTGCTCCTCATTTAAACTTTGAACTTCACAAAACCTTAAAGGGTGGCTTTCACTACACAATTTAATCTATCCACTAAGATTTCTGCTTGAACATCATTTGAAATTGACTATCTGATAAAGAGAGACCACTATCAAAGGTCAGTGAGGTCAACTTGTATAATTACAAGTAGTTTTACTGGGTCAACTCTACCAGACACTGCTGTTTGAAGGTTAAATTGTTACAATTAAAAATATATACAAATCTCCCCAGAGTTACTTTATTGTTAAATGTACCAGAAACAGGACAAGCATTTATTTCTGACCTTAATTGTGTCCAAAGTATCACCACTGGGAAATTATACAAAAATAGCACTTATTAAAAACATTACAGCCTTGCACGTTAAACAATGTTTTATTGAATAAAATTATAATTAGCTAATGGGTAATAGTTTATTTATCACATTACTATTAAAAAGTTTGTTCATTTTATGCCCTTAGGTTAATTGAAAGTACTCAGTTAAAGAAATGATATTTACTATTTTATATTTGATGAACTTGCCACAAACAAAGGAATATGGTCCAGCACCAGAGTCTGGAGTAAAAATAACTCTCACTTCAAAATGATCGCTTCCAGATTACTAGAATTTAATCCCATTTTAATAACGGAGTAAAAGGAAAGTTTAAATGGAAAGCTTTAAAATGGGCTATTTTCTAATTGTTTGATTCATTTTAACGCCTTTTTTAAATTAAGTGGATAGGTGGCCAATCATGAAGTCTTCCATAATCACTGCAGTGAAATATTAACATTTGTTCTTATTTTAATGATTGTGTGTATGTGTATGTATGTATGCGCGTGTGTGTGTGTATATATATACATACATATACATACATATATCTCAGTTATTTTTCCTTTCCAGTGTGGTAAAATAAAAAATATCACCTTTGCTGCCCTATGTGTTTGCCTTGACGATCCTATGATTTTTATAAATAAAGGTAGGATTTCAAATTCTGTGTACAGTGTTGTAGTGCTGCCAATAAGGGCAACATTCTAAGCCAAGCTTTCAAATTCGGGGAATTACCAAGCGAAATTATTATTTGGAAAAGAAATTTTCAAATCTATAGATCTGAGTGAAATGGTTTTAACACATTTTATTTTTTTAAATATTTTCAGATTTTGTGTTGGAGATAAATTTTTCCTAAAGAATAACATGATCCTTTGCCAGACGGACTACGAGGAAGGTTTAATGAAAGAAGGTTATGCACCCCAGGTTCGCTGATCTATCACCATCACCCCATTAAGAATACAAAGCACTACATTCTTTTATCTTTTTTGCTCCACGTGTATATAAGAATTGACACAGGAACCTACTGAATAGCGTAGATATAGGAAAGCAGGATGGATATATGAAATAAAAGGCGGACTGCATCTGTATGTAGTGAAATTGCCCAGTTCAGAGTTGAATGTTTATTATTAAAGAAAAAAGTAATGTACATATTGCTGGATTTTTTGCTTGCTATTCGTTTTTGTGTCACTTGGCATGAGATGTTTATTTTGGACTATTGTATATAATGTATTGTAATATCTGAAGCACAAATGTAATACAGTTTTATTGTGTTACCATTTGTGTTCTGTTTGCTTCTTTGTATTGTTGCATTTAGTACAATCAGTGTTGAAACTTACTGTATATTTATGCTTTCTGTATCTACCAGCTATTTTAAATGAGCTGTAACTTTCTAGTAAAAAATTGAAGAGCAAATCTCACTAATGATACACATATAGATAAAGCAAGTCTATCAACATTAGAAAGACTAAAAAATACAGACACACACAAAGCATTTTAGCAACATCCACTATTACTGCCACTATGATTTAGAGTCTATCAGTGTTCTCATATAACCCCCTATTTTCAGGGGGTTAAGATCAGCTTTAAAAAATGCATAAAAATTTCATCTTAAAGCACTTTCATTTTATACCAACGTGAAAAGTGCCACTTTTAGAATAACTTTAAAGCTTAACAGTTATCCTTTTAATATCCTTTGTATGTGTGTGCGCCCTTTACCTATATTATAGCTTTGTGGTTTGTTTTTTAGTCATTCACCCCTTATTGTGAACTAGTGCCTTTGGGTATTATGTAAGTTCTTTCCAAAGGGTTACTTTAAAAATGTGTTACCACAATTGTGAGAAAATTTTAAAATGATAAATTAAATTTCTTCCACAAATTTTGCCCAGATCTCTCCATAAGAGCTAAGTGTTCAATAATTTTATGGCTTGATAAATTTCTGGCACTAAAAGGATTTGAGTGTGAATCTACTGAAATCATGATAATGCACATTGAAGCTATGATGATATTTGAGTAGTGAAGTTACTTTTGATTGAGCAACATAGTGCTCATAGAATCTTCTAGAAGAAAAGAAACAAAGGGATTGATAAAAAGCTGAGAAGTGGTAATTATATATTTTTCTGTATTTACATGCCACATATTTTAATGTTTAAAAGTGAATGCTTTCAAGTTTGATGTGTCTTATTCTTGCTTTCTTTAAGTAATTACCCAAGTGGTATATATCACACCTAAGCTGAAATCTCTCACTCCAGTTCTTAAAGGTGAACTATTATTACCATACATACATGATAGCTGATAAAGAAGACAGCCTTCTAGAAACAGAAATTATGGAGACTGATTATTTAAATTACACCTTAAGAAATAAAAATGAGTCTATAATCCCCTCTTCTGGGTTGCTCACACTTTGCTCCTTTGCTTCTGTTCCCTGTAATAAAACTACCTTTCAACAAATCTAATCCCACACAGGCACAATGAAGCATATTTTTATGAGAGCAAATTAAGTGCTGTGGTTTTTTTCTTTTTTCTTTATTTTTTTTTCTTGATCACTTGTATAGGAAACAGTATTTCCCAGTGTTTTTTGCATACATATTTTGTCCTGCCAATACATGTATTGCAGATGAAAATTAAGCGTGAGACCTGAATTCTTGGCTTGGGCCCAAACTATTAAGCTGCAAATAATGCTGGTGTGGACTTGAGTTGTTTTAAAACAAAGCTTTATTATGGACATGCATGTGAACCTGGATATTGCTTCTCATTTTTAAGAATATGATTCTGTGAAAAGTGAATGATATGTATTTTTACAAATGCTTCATGGTTAAGATTGTTCAAGTCATGTGTCCCCCAAATGTGAGATGAAAGAACTTCAAGAATAGCTCTTCGGGGCCCATAATATAACTATTATTTTAGCCTTAGAGCCTTACATGTGATTCATAAAAAGACTTGCATAGTCAAAACCAAAAACAGCATAACAAAATAAAACAGAGCACGTGGGTGCAGGGGAGGTAGTGAGAAGTGGTTTTCATAACCCTGCAGCTGTGCTATAGTCCCCAATAAGAGTTGCTTGGCATGAGTGTGGATGTTCAATTTTAATTGTCAGTATCTTTTTCAAAAGATCTTCAAATATTTAAATGTTTTTGCATATGTTAAGATCAATATGTCAAAATACCTGTAAATTGGGAACAAACTGCTCAACTATCCTTGGCACCCAGAGACCAACCAGCGCTTTTTACTGCCTTTTATTTAGAGTAATCCTTCGAGAATTCATCCTTCAGCTTTTCCTACAAGTGAAATTACTCACCTAGATTGAAGATTAAGGCCTTAATCTCCTTAGATTATCTTTAATCTCTGTGAATTTGTGAAAGAAGACAGAAATAGGCCATTGTATAGCTAATTGCCCATAAACAGTAGCATCTTTGACCTGAAGTACTAAGCTAATTGTCTTGACTATTCAAAGTCCCTGAATTGTTGTCAACTTCCCTCTTTGTGCTGTGTCACCCTAATGTCACTTAGCTTGTTATCCGGTGCCTCCAGTAGGACCCCTCCAAAGGAGCTTTGATTTCTCAAGCAGGGACCGCGCCCTCCCTAACATGCACCACTTACAGGCTGCTCTGATGAAGGACCAGGCACCCCCAGACCACCAGAATGCTGGCTGAGTTTAAAAGCTGACCTGTGTTTGTAACTTCACTTTCATCTTGCTTAATAAAAATCTGCTGGACTCTTTCATTCATTTTTCATATTTTATTTTATGTTTTTAATAAAAGGGGTATTACACTATTGGATTGCTCTTAATTGGCAAAATTTAGATGATATCTAGAAGGCATATGTTAAGTTCATGAAAAAAGAAAAAAAGCAGGTAAGGACATTTACTTTGAAAAGGTGTAAACCATAATTATTAACAAAGTAGCTCAAATGCTTTCCCCAAATATTATATTTAAGACTTTTGAGTTAGGTAGTATATTGCTGTTTACTTTTGTGGGGGAAAAAATAAAGCTGTCAAAATTGAAGGTAGCAATTTCTAGGTATAATTTTGCACATATATACAAATTTTAAGTGATCTTTCTGAAAGCAACTGTGTTGTCAGACTAAATTTCAAATTTTTTCCTTTCTGCCTAATTAATTAAAGCAAAAACTCAACTAATCCTACATTTTCAAGGAAGAGATGGTGAAAATTGTATCTGTAGTAAAACATACCATATACAAGTGGTTTCCTTTTAACTCTCACTTTTAGGCAAACCACCTTCTGAATAGTCACTTAAGAAATTTCATAGAAATGATACAGTCCAAACATGCTTAGTGTCCCCTGCAGTAAATTGTATAAACAATCTGTGTATTTACCATAGTAGACCATTAGCACAGAATACAGTTTGCAAAAGTCTTTTGATTATTTCTTTTTCCTAAAAATGTCATTATAGGTATTTCCTAAATGTGATTTTAATGTAATTTAAGGTAGTAGAAAGCCAAGCTTTTATATAGCCATGGTTTCAATTGACATTTATTGAGAACCTACCATGTGACAGGTCTTGCCCTGGGCATTAAACCTGCCATTGGGCAGACTTAGGATACTTGGGACATCAGATGGCTTTAAACCAGGTCTTTTGCACTGGTTTGTACTCATCTCAAACCTATGAATAATGAGCACACAAAAGTGAATACGATCTTCCACCTATTCAGCTTGTCATTGCTATGAAAGGTCCAGAAAATATCTCAAGTAATCAATGTGTTCAGAGAATTATCTCACACAAATTACTCATTAACTCAATAGCACATAATAAAAAAGAACATCAATTAATTAATGAGTCACCCTCAGATCACTATGATTACAATAGTGCTCTGTTGAAACAGCGGTTATAAATGGAGCTGCCTCTCTTTATTCATTGTTTGCAATTGGCCCATTATTTGGCTGAAACCAGTGTCATATTTAACACATGCCTGTAGGTAATTGTGTGATTGGTATCATAAATGAAGAATTCAGAAAGTCGACTGCTTATAAGACCTTAGAAATGGCCAGAAAAATAAAGAAAACTCATTTTTTACAATAGCTTCATTTGAAGCCAAGCTATCAAAAGGGTATTATCTATCTAAATGGTACACTTCTACATTTATAATCCAAATGTAAGACTTCCATGTTGAACATTATAAGGATTAGCTGCTAAAACATTTAAAAGTAAATTTTACAATGTGTCAGACTACATATAATTTAATTTCAGTAATTTTTCACAAGGACTAAAATAGGCATGACCAGTTTTGCAGCTGTTTTGGTACCCAAGAAGGACGTTTGTATTTTCAGTGGGCCTGGTTGGGGGGAGGGGATGCAGGTTGGTAGCAATCAGGCAAGACATTTAAAAAACACCAAATCTTGCAAACAAAGTCGGCAGCTAAAGTTTCCCAACTATCTTGGAAAATGCCATTCCAATAAGCTCATAGAATAATTATAACAGTTCCCTTAGGTAAGTCAGAAACATCTGTTGATAACACATTGCAGGTGTTAACAATTTCACATACTGAAATTTTAAAAAATGTTTTTAATTAAAAGAATTTTTGTCTTCTGAAAAGGAAAGTATGTTAAATTCAAAGATACGCCTGTTTTGAGTGTGCAGATCACGTAATGCACAAAATTGTAAAGCCCAAATCATTTTGGATCAACTAGTTTTCGTGTTTGGTTCAGATCATTGCAATCAAAAGTGAGCTAGAATTCATTGCACTTTTTACACAATTGATATTCAGAGCTGAGAAGCTGAATACTCATGAAGTTGGGATAGCAGAGCTGATTACAGAATATTTTGGCTTTATTAGCAAGGTGGTTGCTGTTAACTATACCAAATTTAATGGGCACTGTACAAAGAAAAATAGGAGCAAGGGACACTTAGATAATAGAGGATCAAAATCTTTCTTAACCCCACAGAAAACTTTAAATCACCTTAAATAAAACAGTCCATTGTTTAACATGGAATGTCATCATATAGCCATCTTCAATAGCTTTTAATAATAGCTAACATTTACTGAACATTTACCATATATCAGACAGTTTTCCACGCTCATGTAATTTCCACAACACCCTTGTAATATAGGTATTATCCTATTTTATAGATTTTAAATAAAAACACAGAGGTTATTTTATTTGCGTTAGGTCATACAGGTCATACAGCTAGTAAATAGTGGACCTGAGACTTAAACATAAGCTTCCGGTCTCTAGGGCATGGCCACCATTAAAGGATTGATTTATTATTATTATTATTAATTATTATTATATAACTATTATTATTTTCTAGCCAAGAACTACAAGTTGCCTGTGCTTGAGCAAAAATTCCAAATATTTTAGAATTAATGTCATCTTTAAAGATGAAAATTGGGAATGAGACTGATAATAATTTCCTAGATACAATCTACTTAGGAGCTCTTTTTTTCCAACCACACCATGAAAGAGTTTATTTGAACCTGCAAAGCCAGGATACCAAGAATAGGGGACCCATAACTGCAATTTTCTGCATCAGGAAGA